CCCGTCACAGAGCGAGCCACGGGCAGTGAGGCTGGGCCTGCCGGGCTCCCAAACACCCGGTTACCAAGCGGCTAAGGATGAGCTGAGCTCTCTGCAGACACCATACCATCTCTGTGGGCAAAGCGCGCCCATCTTCTTTGGGTAGATACCGTTCAGAAGCTCAGATTATGTAAAGACTAGGCTTCCTCACCGGGCACTGGCCGGGCCCGCCCAGGACTTCCGGAGGCCAAACTTGATTCTAATATTCATCCTCCTTCAGCTCCCACCCCGTGAGAAAGACCGAGAACCATCCGTGACTCGGGGTTGGAGAGCGTGGAGAATTCTTGCCAGTCCTGCAAGCAAGCGAGAGACTCCAGCCAAAGCCAGACGAGCGAGGGGCCTGTGGGGGAGATGGTGGGGTGGGGCAGGTGTGTGTGGGGAGATCGAGGGTTCCCAGGGCTCCCATGTTCTCCCCAGCACCACAGCACGTAAACCAGCAGCTGAGAGCCAGGCACTCTCTCGATGAAGGCTTTGGCCCAGATGGCACAGAGGTGCTTGTGTGCAGAGGCAAACATGCACAGCTTCTCCTCTGACTGGCCAGCCAGTGGTGGGTCTTGCTTGCTTTTAGCACAAGGCACGTCCAGGTACTGTTCATGGAGCTTTAGGTCTTTTCTCCCTTTACCATCTAAAGATAAGTCAGACATTTGAAGAGTACCTTCCCTCCCTCCCTCCCTCCCTCCCTCCCTCCCTCCCTCCCTCCCTCTGTTTCTCCACAGAGATTACACCCAGGGCGTATGTACTGCATGAGTCATGCCCCTGGACCTTTTGTTCATAGTTTGTGTTTCAGATGCAGGTTTCACTAACTTTTGCCCAGCCTGTTCTTGAACCTGTGGTCTTTCAGCCTCCACCTCTTGAGAGGCGGTGATTCCTGGGGTGTGCCACCTGTAAATCAAATAGATCAAACAGAAGACGAAGTTGTAGAAATGGCTTGGCGGATATTAACCTTCTACACTGAAAACCCCACGCACTCCCACCCGCTAGGAGAGGCCGGCGCTGGCCTTCCTCTTTAGCAGATGCATTTCTGATTCGCTAACCAGTATTTTCCAGTTCTGAATTCTCCCGTCCGTGTGCATGCCTCACGCTTGGCCGAGTGCTCTCACTCAGTACAACTGTTCTCTGGGAAGCCGCTGGGCTTCAAGTGCAATTGAATCATAGTTTCAAATTTGACCACAAAGACCTGACAAGAAAAGCAATCGCATTAACTAGATTTACTGGATTCTTTGGCAATTGTAAAGGGAAATGGGAGGGAGGGTAATATGGACTCCTGAGAAACAGCAGTAGGTTTAAATATTAATTACAGCCCTGTGGACAGGTCATAGTCTTAGATTGAAACTTGAGCTCTCTCTGCCCTTCCCTTTCCACTGGTCTGGCTTCCTGGTTTTCCCGTTTTCCCCTCCTCTTTTCCTCCCTCTGCTATCTCTTTACAATGGGGATGGGCAGACCTGGGGCCCCTTTAAAGTATCTGCTCAGACTAAGAGTGTGGAAGTTACTGAACTTTCTTGGGCCCTACCCCAGGAGGTGGTTGTGAAGATTAACGGGTATGAAATTAACAGGCAGGAATCTTGGAGGAGACAAAGCACTCCAACAACAGTCACGTGTAGGCTTGTAGCTCAGAAAGAACGGGGCAGGGGCAGGCTGGGAGGAGAGCACTGAGGCAGGTGTGGGGAAAGTGGGGGAGGGGGGCGGGAAGCCAGTGGTCTCCACACCTGCTGGAATGGCGGCCACCTCTGCGGGTTAGAAACCAGACCCGGAAGCCATCCTGAGTCCCCGCAGTCCTGGGGGTGCTGTGAGGATAAGGTCAGACACCCACATTCCCTGCTGAGAACTCCACTGCCACGGCACAGGCAACCGCCCCTCCCCCCAGGGCCCCATGGCCAGCCTGGGTTTTTGGGGTGCTGTCACTGAGAGGCTGGAACAGGAGCTCCCCAGGGGACCAGATTCCCTCACACAATCACCAGGCACCCTGGGAACGCGGCCTCCTCTGGCCTGCGTCCGGATCTTTGGCAAGTCTTGAGCTCTGTTAAGTGTTTGCTCTTAGCCTTGGCAGAGGACGGTGGCAGGGCCTGGCAGGAGCGGCCTGGCTTCCTGCCCCAGCCCTGGCTCCATCTCTGGGAACCCAGGTCTCCTGGCTTCTCAGGACCTCAGTTTTCCTCAACTCAATGATCATATGTCTCTGGAAGGGCTGCTGAAAGGGTTGGGTCATAGCGAAAGGTAAGTGCCCTGGGCGCCAGTCTGGTCTCTAACTGTCACTCTGCTGCTTTGACCTTTGTCTTCTTCCGTCTCTGTGTGATGCAATTTCAGTACCAAAGACTCTAGACCCTTGATACAGCGGCACCTATTTCTTGATACTAAACTTCTTTCCAGAAGGGATAATGCTTTTTTATCACAGCCAAGTATGAGATACAAAGTACATATTGTGCAGAGAACTGATGACTAACAATCAAGGTGAACAGAGTCGCAGCTCGGGAAAACAGAAAGAACAGGACCACCGCGTGCTCTTCTCAGACAAAGATGGCGGCATCTTGCTGGGTCGTCAAACCCAGGGCTGGGTCAGCGTGGCAAGGCCTGGCACAGGACTGCGGAAAGTGCCTGTGGCTATCACACGAGAGAGGACCGAACGGCATTCCAATGACAAAAGACAGCTTGAAAGAAAGGATAAAATTCTGACAAGGCTACACCATGCAGGAGTGTTGGAAACATTATGCTAAAAATAAACCTGACACAGAAACAGAAACGTGTCATTCTACTTACATATCTAGGCCAGACAAATTCATGCAGACAGAATGGAGCCTCCAAGGCCTAGGGGAAGGAGAGATGAAGCTACAGCCAAGGAATATTTCTATATAAACACTGGCTAACTGATTCATTAGCCTTGGTGTATTTTCTGTAAGGGTAATTTTTGTGTTCCTAAGCCATCAATTTGGGATTTTGATGGAGAGTGCATTGAATGTGTAGATTGACTTTGGCAGTATGACCATTTTCACAATACTACTTCTGCCAATCCATGAACACAGGAGGTTTTTCTATCTTGTATCTTCTTCAATTTCCTTCTTCAGCGTTTCATAGTTTACATTGTACAAGTCCATCACCTTTTACATCTATTCCTAGGTAACCATTTTAGTCTATCATGAATGGAATTGCTCTGATTTCTTTCTCAGCCTGTTAGTTGTTGGCATACTGAGTCTTGTATGTTGATTTTTTTAAAGTGTTTATCAGACTTAGTTTTGGGGTAGAGCTCTAGGATTGTCTCTTTTTTGGGGGGGTGAGGTCCGGTTGTGGGGCCTGAACTCTGGGCCTGGGCGCTGTCCCTCAGCTCTTCAGCTCAAGGCTAGCGCTCTACCACTTGAGCCACAGTGCCACTTCCGGCTTTTTCCTTTTTTTTTTTTTTGCTTATGTGGTGCTGAGGAATCGAACCCAGGGCCTCATGCATGCAAGGCAAGCTCTCTACCACTGAGCCACCTTCCCAGCCCCTCATCTCTTTTTTTATTTGGTTTATTTGGTTTTGGTAGACTGGGACTTGAACTTGGGGCTTTGCACTGGTTAGACAGGTACTGTTGAAATAGGGAGATCAGGTCTGGCCAGCGCCATCTTGGCCATGTGGTGGCTGGTTGGGTCTGGCATCTTGTCTTCATGTTGGGGGAAGGGAAGGTCCCCTCTCCCAGGTATGGGCGTGCCTGAGTCCCCAGAGGCAGGGCAAGGACTTGGGTATAGGTTACTAAACCTGTCAGTCTGGTGCCTGGGATTCAAGTTCCTGTGACCCCTGCCCCCTGACCTGACCCTACAGGCCCAGCCCAGCTCAGGAGTCGTTACCCCTGGCCACATGCCTCTGTGCTTGTGTCCTGGCCCCTGTCTCTGCTCCGGTCACAATGGCGTCTCACTTCAGCTCTCCACCCGAGCTGCACTGGCTTGTTGGTATTGTTTTTATTCTTTCTTGTCTGGCCTCTGTGGCTCAGTTTGCTAACAGTGTTTATAACTGTTAAGTGTATCTTCTGGCTGTTGGTCTTTGAGACAGGAGTCCATCATGCAGTCTCTGGCCTTTTAATTTGACCTCTCGAAATGTGGCTCCTCTGTTTTTCTCATGGCTGGGTTTGCATCTGATTTATGGTGCAACACTGTACCACTTGAACCATGCCTCCAGTTATTTTTTCTGGTTATTTAAACATAGAATTTTGCTTTTCGCTTGGGCTCCATGGTACCGCAGTCTTCCCGTCTCCTACTATTGCTGGGGTGAGAGGCACATACCAGCACCCTTGGCTTTCTGTTGAGATGAGGGTCTCCTGAGCTTTTATCTGGGATCATTTTACCAAAGCAAAACCCAATCTTTAGTAGCTTTGTTAAATATAAGAATGTTATTGGGGCTGGGAAGGTGGCTCAGTGGTAGAGCGTTTGCCTCACATGCGTGAGGCCCTGGATGTGATTCCTCAGAAACAGATAAGCAGAAAAAGCCAGAAGTGGTGCTGGGGCTCAAATGGTAGAGCACTAGGCTTGAGCTGAAGAGCTGAGGGACAGCGCCCAGGCCCAGAGTTCAAGCCCCATGACACAACAAAACAAAACAAAATGTTATCTAATTACCCAAGGTGAGGTTTTGGTTTTTGTTTTGGTTGTTTGGATTTCAAAATATTGTTCCCTGGACAGTAATTCCCCATTATTCCCCTTCACATTTCTCACTCACCAAATCATTTCAGCTACTCCCAATTTGGCATTTGCCGCATTTTCCCCCAATCACAAATCCTCAGAAAGCAGCGCTGGTGTTGGCAATCCTGGCCTCCCAAACCTGCGGCGGCTCTCCCACCGCAAGCCTTACCTTGGTGCAAACATGAAGAAAAGTGAGACAGGTACTCACTGCCGGGACTAAACCTCTGTCTCCTCTTGAATTTATAAAGAAAAACACTGGCTCCATAAAAGTTGTAGATTACCATCATCAACGGATGGGCCAAAAAAAAAAAATCCATAAGCCAGAATGATTTTACATGGCATTTAATAAGGATTTGCTGTTGAACATCGCGTTGAACGGGCATTGGCTGCTGATGGCAGCGTGGGTCTCGTTCATCTACTCCGCGGTCTAGTTCTGCAATGCACCACCCAGGCATGTGCTGGCTGGGTTGCCAGCCTTAGACCTGCGGCCATTAAAACTGCAGGACGTCCTTGACCACTTTAACATAGCGGTCATCGGCAGGAGGCTTCCTTTGGCTCCCAGGCTGCAGGAACTTCTTAATGTTAGGCATGTTGCCCACTCTTGCTTTAAATGCCTATAGTAAGAGTGGAAGAGTGGGGAGTGGGGGACAGAGAGAAAGAGAGAGAGAGAGAGAGAGAGAGAGAATCATGCTGGGGATGTGGCCCAAGCTTTTAGTGCGCCTGACTAGCAAGCATGAGGACTTGGTTCCAACCCCTTCATAGCCAAATGATAAACAAAATAAATAAATACTAATATCCGTGGTCACACACAAAAAATTCAGAAAACCAGAATCTTGTCATGAAAAGAAGGTACCCGAACCATCTCTTGATACAGCCCAGTGTTGAACCTGACGATTTCTCAATGTGTTTATTGGATGTTTCTGGTGAGGGTAATGTAATTGCCAGTGCATTCAGCATAGGTTAAATTAATTACCTTATCAAAAAGAGCCTAAGGGCTGGGAATGTGGCTTAGTGGTAGAGTGCTTGCCTAGCATGCATGAAGCCCTGGGTTTGATTCGTCAGTACCACATAAACAGGAAAAGTTGGAAGTGGCGCTGTGGCTCAAGTGGTAGAGCACTCGCCTTGAGCTGAGGAGCTAAGGGACAGTGCCCAGGCCCAGAGTTCAAGCCCCACAATTGGAAGAAAAAAAAAAAGAATCTACATTCCTGTTTGCTTCTGTATAAATGATACATGAAGCACAGGTGACCAATAAAAGTGAGGACGGAGGGGAAGGCATCAGGCAGAGGTGGGATTAGAATCACTCAAGTTGCACTCCGGTGACATGACTGGCTTTCCAAAAAGATGTGATTCTATCACACAATGAAAACAGAATACAAATTATATTGCAGAAGAATATCTGTTGACATGTAAATATACTACGGGCATTGATGAAAGTGTTAAAAGCAGACCACTAAAACAATATTTAGTAGAATCCTATTCTGGGAGGGAAAAAAACTACAGTGGCATTTGGCTGGTGGAATTATGGGTCTTTTTCTTTGATTTAGATAACGGTATTTGAACTTGCATTTCCTTCATGGTAAGGAAAAATATATGTATTGTTAAAGTAAAATTTAAAGAAAATCTATCCTATCGGATAAAGCGTTCCTCAGAGGTTAGAGCCGAGGACAGTGAAGTCTGGTAGCAGTCGGGTCTGTGTAGGCCCTGGGAGTCCCACCAGACAGGGGTTCCTCCACGGGCCCCAGCATCACCTGACCAAAAGTGCACAGACTCACCTGCTAGGAGCCGGAGAGCACTCAAGGAAAAAGAAAAAAGGAGAGCACTAAAGGTCCCTTCTAGAAACCAAAGTATCTTATTTTCCTGGTCACATAAAGTTGTATTTTCCTAACAGATCCTGCAGTGTATGCATGAGAAGATACACAAGAGTGTCCAGAACCAGAGTGGCTGGCTTTGGGAAGTCTTCTGAAGTTTGAGTGGACACAGAGGCCACCTCGTTCCAGCCCGTCGTCATCGTTGTGCTCCAGGCTCTGTGGATGTGAGTAATGCCTTACCTTCAGCTGCGGGAAGTCAGACAGGACAGCAGCGTCCAGTTCTTCCACCATTAAAATGGCTTCAAACAGCTCTACATCTGCCCAACTGAATGCATTGCCAACAAGGAAGTCTTCTCCATGGCCTTTCAAAACCTCCAGGGAGGAAAAGAAGAAGAGTGTTGAGTGGAAGTAAGACAATCTTGCCTGGCGAAACACTTATAAAAGCATAAAAATCTGTGGTCCCGATCAGATTTACAAAAGAATCCTTTTCTCAATAATCTCTGCTGCTGGCAAGGATCACATGAAATGGATGTGGTACGCTGGGCTGGGAAATGTGTCAGTGATTATCAAGGTCCTGTGGGTGACAAAAGGCTGATACTGGGGTCTTATTACAAGCACGGGGGTGGGTAAGAAAAATTATACCCCCCAGTGCAGGGAGGCCCAAATCTACAATTCATACGAGTCCAGCTGCTACATCACAAGTAGAAATGAGTCACTCCTAGGGCAGCCGAAGCCTGAACACAGCAACATAGGAAGCAAACTGTCCACTCTCTAATGGAAAGCTAATTGAAAAATAAAAATCTTCCCGGGCAGCTTGGAGTCACAGATGCATCAATAAGGTAAATTTGAGCACCACATCTTGTCATGTGATACATATACGGGCGAACACAGATGTCACTGTAGATGGAGAATGTATAAAAGCAGTGAATTCTAGAGATTCACAGCCAAGGCAAAGACGAAAACACCTGGTTGAATATATCACTGAAACCAAGAGATGGAACATGATCACGTGCTCTCTTCTCATTGTGATCTTAAGCCCCCTGATAAAAACCTAACCCACCTGTAAGGCAGAGGCAACAGATTCAAGCAAAGAGGGAGTTCTGAGCTATAGGCTGAGTGCATTCTCCTTTACTTCTGCATGTAGAAGGCAGATAAGAAAGAAAGCAAGAAAGACATCAGAACCAAGGAGCCAATGAGTAAAAATCTGTTTCTTACCTTGATAAATCAACATGACTTAAAAAAACCAACTAGGGGCTACAATGCTTGATAAGAAATGTACTCATTATCTTGCCCATGTAATTGTAACCCCTCTGTACAGTATTTTCACAATAAAAAAAAAAAACTAACTAGGAGGAAATGAAAACAACTTGGTCCTAAAACAATACTTAAAACTAAACATAAAAAGAGGAAGAAGAAAGATATTTGGAGGTAAAAGGAAGCTTTGTCTTATTAATAAGAAGATAGAAATCAATAGTGTAAGCCAGGACCTGGGGGCTCATGCCTGTAATCCTAGCTACTCAGGAGGCTGAAATCTGAGGACTGTGGTTCAAAGCCAGCCCAGGCAGGAAAGTGTGTGAGACCCTTATCTCCAAAACCACTCAGAAAACTGGAAGTGGCACTATGACTCAAGTGATAGAGCTCTAGCCTTGAGCTGAAGAGCTGAGGGACAGCACCCAAGCCCAGAGTTCAAGCCCCAGGACTGACAAAAAAAAAAAAAAAAGAAAAGAAAGAAATCAATAGTTTAAGGAGGAAATATTTATCATCTGAATCATTAGAAGAAAAGTTGGAATAAAGAAAACTGATCAATCCTACAGGGCTTAAAACAGAAAGAGGAAAAGTTAAAACAAACAAAAAAAGGCTCTTTGTGGGGAAAAAACCTTTGTATTTGTAAGGAGAAGACAAAATAAAATTGAAGCAAATATAAGTTTGCTTATATATATATATTTGTCTAGATGGTACAAAAACTTGAGTTGACTAAAAAAAGCAAGTTGCAGAACAAACATATAGTATGGAACTGTATATATATATATATATAAAACTTTATTATATATTATATTTTATATATATATAAAGAGAGAGGAAGTGATATCACATCTGAATACGGTCCAAAGATGACCCCCACCCCTCTTTCTCTCTCTCTCTGCAGATCTGCTTCAAGGAAAAGAAAAGTTTTAAGCAACATAGGACAAATGTGGACAGTTGTTCGTTCCAAGCAATAGATTCGCAGGACTTCTGCTTTTGAATATCTAAATAATAATAGACGGCAGAGTCTTCAGTAGAATTCTTTTTATGTGGCAGAAACCGGAAGGAAGTCCCTGGAAACCACCGTGCGGTCGACTCTGGGAGGCGAGGAGTGGAGTGATTTCTGTCATTCTGCAGGAGACATTACTGCCCTGTCTAAGGCTGTGGGTTGTTGAAAGAACTCAGACCCCCTTCTTCCCCATGGCATCTATCTGCCTCTTACAGAATCACTTTTAAACTCACTTTATCTTACGAAGTCGAGTGCCACCTACCTTTTCAAAGGCTGGGAAGTAGCGGGTTTTAGCTTTCTGGACGATGGTGGCATAGCTCCCCTCTTTGTTCGTCGGGCTACTGAACGGAGTCGCCAGAATCATTAGCATCAGATCCGTGGTGCCGTCCGTGTACATGTCGATCCTGAAATGGCACCTCAAACGGTCACTCAAGGGGACCCCATGACTACACAGCTCCCTCATCCGACACTCTCCTGGGCACATGGCACCAGCGAGCCACCTCCAAACTACCCCTTAAGCTAGCCCACCCCAAGTGATGCTGGAACTAGATCTAGCCAAGGGCCATAGCAGGGTCTGTGGAAATGTTTACTGAATGAAAGAACATGTGAAGGAATCGGTGAGTACTGCCGTCCTCAGACGTTCTTAGAGTCATGAAAAAGAAGGAAGGGAGGGAGGGAAGAAGGGAGGAAGAAAAAGGCACAGTTGTTCATCTTCCAGTACTTGTGATTTGACCTGACAACCTTTTCTATCCTCAGACAGGGCCTGCTTTCCAAGGTGACCCTGTGACTTGCTCTGACGGACGGATGGAGGTGGACATAATGGGCCAGTTCTGAGCCTTCAATGTGTGTAGGAGGCTCCTGGGCCTTCACGCTCACTCTCAGAGCCCTTCTCGTTGGAGTGAGAACGGGTTAGCTAAGGATCTGAGAGACTCCGGGCCCACTCCTCCCCCGCCGCTGGGGACTTCAGTTAATACGGAAACACAGAGCCGCCGGCGTAATCACGGGAGGCCATACTGAGTGAATCCAGTTAGCATGACACGAGCCTGACCAGGAACAACCACCCAGATGAGTCACAACCAGGTGAGCAATGCCAGGAGCTGCTGATTTCAAGTCTCCCTGTGCCTCAAGGTGCTTTGTGAGGAGTGAATACAGACACGGGAGCGGATCACTACCAGTTCAGAGTCCCGCACAAGGGCGGTCAGGCCTAGCAAGACCATCTCCTTTTGCTTCTGTACTTCCTCCCTTCCGTCCAGGCCGAAAGACAACCTGAAGTGGTCTCAGCTGGAGCAGGAGCAGAGCAGCTGGGCTAACAGCCGGTACCTGGCTCTCTCCTTCAGGTCTTTTCCGTACAGGTTGTACTTAGCAGCGAGGTAGCTGAGGATGGCCCGGGTCTGAGTCAGCATCATTCCATCGATTTCAACCAGAGGCACTTGGCCAAAAAGCAAGTATCCAGCTGTGGTTTAAGCAAGGAGAGTGGGGACAAGCATCAGTGGTGGCCATCAGTCCGCTCCCATTCTAACTTCACGGAGCGGTTTTGTTTCCAGCCAGGGAGATGAATTGCAGGCGCTCGTAACTGAGGAAACACCTACCATTTGCTTTGTGTAGCATCTGAGATTCAGTGGACTGTTTCATGAATGTTTATGTGTCAGTCAATTGTGACTTTTTTGAGGTTCCCCCCACACACACCCATTTTGCTGTAACTATGTTATAGTACAATCATTTCTGGTTCTCAGAGATTTGGTGCATATAAGAATTCTCTGGCCGGGCGCCGGTGGCTCACGCCTGTAATCCTAGCTACTCAGGAGGCTGAGATCTGAGAATCGCGGTTCAAAGCCAGCCCGGGCAGAAAAGACAGTGAGACTCCCATCTCCAATAAACCACTAGAAAACCGGAAGTGGCGCTGTAGCTCAAATGGTAGAGCGCTCGCCTTGAGCTGAAGAGCTGAGGGACAGCGCCCAGGCCCAGAGTTCAAGTCCCATGACCAACAACAACAACAAAAAAAGAATTCTCTGTGTGAGCGGTTATTAAACCCATCTTGGCTAGCCGGGTGCTGGTGGCTCACACCTGTAATCCTAGCTACTCAGGAGGCTGAGATCTGAGGATCACGGTTCAAAGCCAGCCCGGGCAGGAAAGACTGTGAGACTCCTATCTCCAATAAACCACCAAAAAAACTGGAAGTGGCGCTGTAGCTCAAGTGGTAGAGTGCTCACCTTGAGCTGAAGAGCTGAGGGACAGCACCCAGGCCCAGAGTTCAAGCCCCACGACCAACCAAAAAAAAAAACAAAAACAAAAACAAAACCCATCTTGGCACTCCCCAGATATTCTGCTATAGAGATAAAGCAGTGAGTCTTCATTCATTCTTTTTTTGTTGGTTGTGGGGCTTGAACTCAGGGCCTGGGCACTGTCCCTGAGCCTCTTTGTGCTCAAGGTTAGTGCTCTACCACTTGAGCCAGCACCACTTCTGGTTTTTTTTTTTTTGGGGGGGGGGGGGGGTCTGGTCATGGGGCCTGAACTCTGGGCCTGGGCGCTGTCCCTCAGCTCTTCAGCACAAGGCTAGTGCTCGACCACTTGAGCCACAGCGCCACTTCCGGCTTTCTTCTTTTTGCTTATGTGGTGCTGAGGAATCAAACCCAGGGCCTCATGCATACAAGGCAAATGCTCTACCACTGAGCCACCTTCCCAGCCCCACCACTTCTGGCTTTTGAGTGGTTTACTGGAGGTAAGAGTCCCTGCATGGGCTGGCTTCAAACCTCAATCCTTAGATCTCAGCTTCCTGAGTAGCTCGGATTACAGACATGAGGCGCGGGCGCCCTCCTCTTCGTTTGTTCTTTTCAAGTGTTTCAGGTATTACTCGAGGTGACCTGGCAGAAGAGCGGCGGTGACAGCAAGAACGCAGGCCAACCTGGGCCGGCTTAACTCCCTTCTAGCCATGTGACTTCACGCAAATTACTTTCCCAAGCTCACACCGTCCAGGGACAGCTACGCCTATAGAAATGGGCCTTGGGTCCCTCTCCAGCGCTCCCGCCTCTCTCTCATTGTGCTTCCCACCTACAACAATAGTGACCGCCCAGGAGGGCGCCCCAGGGCCACCACAGCACCACAGACTCATGGAGGACTGAAGCACTACCAAGGCTGTTAGAGCACCATTCTGCAAGGGTTTATGGAGCCACAGCCAAGAATTCAGCATGTATGTACCCATCCGTAAGTCCCCATGTGGGGCCCAGCAAGGCAGACAAGGCAGGTGAGGGGCTATGGTGGATGATCAAGGTCCTCTGAAAGGACTGGAGAGAGGCTGCCCGACCTCCCCCACTCGGCCGGGTGAAAACCTAATAAAAATGTGGATAATGCCGGGCGCTGGTGGCTCACGCCTGTAATCCTAGCTACTCAGGAGGCTGAGATCTGAGGATCGCGGTTCAAAGCCAGCCCGGGCAGGAGAGACCATGAGACTCCTATCTCCAATAAACCACCAGAAAACCGGAAGTGGCGCTGTGGCTCAAGTGGTAGAGCGCTCGCCTTGAGCTGAAGAGCTGAGGGACAGTGCCCAGGCCCAGAGTTCAAGCCCCATGACCGACCAGGAAAAAAAAAAAAATGTGGGTATTCTCCACAGCTTCCACTGTGTCATGACCTAATGCAATATGTCTGTGGCTCTGTTTAAGCCACAGAGAGATTGGATGTGAAGGAGAAGCATTAGGGAATACTCTCCATCTTCTCTGATCAACTGGTTCTTCACCATGAGTCAGGGGAGGGTACTGAAGGTACTGAGGGTACTGGGCATCCAGGGTACTGAGGGTACTGAGCATCCAGGGTACTCAGAGTACTGAGGGTATGGAGGCATGCAATCGGTACTAGCCTTCCCGTGTGCTCTTGTCACCTGAGGTCACCCAGAATGTCCCTAATAAGCATTTGGGAAGGTCAAGGAGATGTCAAAGTTCACCGTGTGCCAGGGACAAGGTACCACTCACTGGTCAGCATTAGTGGTCAGGCTGAGCACTTGCCTTTTCTGACAGTTTCCATCCCAGAGCTCCAGGGTCCTGCTCAAAGTGAATCCTTCCAGAAAGACGCTCCTGTTTTCTTTCTAACAGCCTTGAACAAGTGCAGACTTACCTTTCTGTATCTTCTCAAACTGTTCTCTTGTTTCAATAAATTCTTCTTCAAACTAGATGGACAGAGAAACATTATTATAAATTGTGTGAATTCAACAAAGAGAGTCTAACAGTTTTCAGAAATGCCCAACAGTTTTCAAAATAAAAAAAAATTTAGAAAAGGAAATCCAAAATCACAGCTGAACGGCGTGACGGAGCGTGTGTAGACTCGCTCCAGGGAATGCTGTGCTTTGGAGGCTTTGCCTCTATTTCCCCCTTCTTCACCCCACCTTTGCTCTCCTCTCCCTGCAAACTGTTGTCCTATGTCTGCAGCCCCCAACGGCTGCTCCTCTTTTTTTCTCCTCTTGTGCTGTTCTCTCTACATGTCAAGGCAAAACACATTTCTCTTTTGTAATGATACATTCAGAAACAAAAAAAAAAAAAGAAAAGCAAACCAGATCCAAGGGCCATTGCGCAGGTGGTGGTGTCGTGATCTTGTAATGGAATTTCTACAACTTTTGTGCACGTGATTTATTTGTATGGCTTCTGTTGTCCAGTGGACTGTCTCTAAAGAGACAATTCCAGCACAGCAAGAAGGCAGTGTGGAGGGAGTTTGCAATGAAGGGGGGATTTGATCTGATCTGGAGGGAATCTGCAGTTAGCGGGGATTTGATCAATCTGGGGCGGCTCTTCAGATCTGGAGGTGGGAAGGCTGAGAAGGCTCCAGAACAACAGAGAATAAGTCCCACGTGGACCTCCTCTCTGGTAATGCCATAATCCACCAAGGTGTTTTTCACTCCTAGGAAGCCTCCAGACCCTCCGCGCCCACCCCCCTGCTCCTCCGGGACCAGCAGCCCCACACCCATCTCAGTGGGAGAGTAGGCCCAGCCTGGGTACAGCATGCCGGACCCTGGAGAAGGGGAGCAGCGGCGACCCACCCCATCCCCCCCGCCTTCCTCTTCCCCATCGGGAGCCCACCTCGACCCCAGCGGCAGCTAGCAGCCAGCGGATGGCCTCCATTCTTCCCCTGCCACAGAAGTAGTAGAGCTTGGGTTTGGCAGCCATGACTCCTAGGTCAGTTTCCTAAAGGGAAAGATTTTTAAATTACGTTCACAACACAAATTAGCACACCACTCCTGACATTAGCTGCATGTAGAGCAGTGTGCGGAAACAGGTATCCAAAGGCCTGGTAAAGGGAGACAAACATATCAGGGGAAATGGCCAAGGAGAGCAAGAAACTCATGATCATGAAGATGGGGGTTGCCAATTGTGAGGAGAGGGGGTGGGACTGGGGAGGGAAGTGAGGGGTTCAAAAGTTGCCAGCACTGTTCGCAATAGCTAGGATATGGAAACAACCTAGGTGCCCCACCACAGATGAATGGATCCAAAAATTGTGGTATCTATACACAATGGAATATTATGCAGCCATTAGAAATGACAAAATAATGGCATTTGCAGGGAAATGGATGGAGCTAGAAGGAATCATGTTGAGCGAGGTAAGCCAAGAACGAAGAGACAAACGGTACATGGTCTCCCTCATAAGTGGATGCTAAATCCAAAAGGTTAGGTGATACGACAAAACTAACAGGACTTAAGAAACAAAGAACTCCCGCTCATCTGGTTGAACCACTACTAAATATCCTCATGCTGCTGATCACAAATATGGTATATAACATGTGAACACTGTTATATATTACAGACTGTGGTAGACAATTTGCTCCAGGGAAGTTAGAATGAACTTGTGACTTTGAAATTATGTAATCATTTAATCACAATCAAAAAAAAAAAAAAAAAAAAGAACCTCGGGGAAGGGAGGGAGGGAGGGGATGGTAGGGGGAAAACAATGGAGGGGGTAACAATGTTCAAGAGGAAGTGTACTCATAACCTCACTCATGTAACTGTAACCCTCTGTATAGTAGCTTTACAATAAAAAAAAAAAAAAGAAAAAAAAAAAAAAAAAAACAAAAGTTGCCAGCAGTGTTTTCTTTCTTGAGCATAAATAGTCGTAGTCTTTACGGCCAGGCCCAGTGGCTCGCAATCTTAGCTACCCAGGAGGCAGAGATGAAGAGGACTGAACCTGGCAGCCTGGAAAACACGAGGCCGCATCTCAACGGTGCTGTAGGCGAAGTGAGCCTGCCTGCCCTGCGGGCTGCACAGATGCAAATCCCCCGCGCGCTCAGCTGCTGGGAGGCTCAGGGCTTGTGAAGCGAAAGAAGCATTTAACAGAAACTCACTACGGGGCTGGGGCATCCCCGTGGTACACGGGGAGCAACCCTGAGCACCACACAGACATGCACGTAACTTGGTGTTACAGGAGCTGACGGAGCTGTGCAGAGTATTTGTAATCACATGTCTGTCGGCTTTGTGACACTGTAGATTAAGCCCTAAAGTAGGCCCTCTAATCCTTGACTCTACAGAAGTTAGGACAAATCATAGCTTGGTGATATAGAAGCTCAAGTCTGCTCAGGCTTCAAAAAGTAAACCCAATTATCTCATTATTTAAGAGTATGGAAAAACAGGCTCAGTACAAGAGTCGTAAGAGTCATTCCGTCTCTAGCAAATCAAGGCGTGAAAGCAATGCGCCCTGAGGCACCGGCATGCAGACACTGAGGGCGTTGCCAGTACCAGAGTCGGGACCGTGGAGAAAATGCAGGGCATGAACACAGCTCCCATTTCTTTAAAAATAAAATAATGGGTTCCATTGTGCCATTTTCATACACATATACAGTGTATTTTTATTACCTCGGCTACCTCCCGTGATCCTCTCCCACCCACCGATCTCCACCCCTCAAAGAGCAAATAGTTCCCTTTGTATGTTCTTGTTTCTGTCTAGATTCTGCCTAGGAGAGAAAACCTGCAATATTTGTCATTCTGAGTCTGGCTTTGTTCTCCAGTTCTACCCATCTTCCTGCAAATGGCATAACTTTGCTTCTGCCTGAATGAAACTTCATTATGCATATTCTATACACCACAATTTCTTTGTCCATTCTTCCATTGTAGGGCCTCTAGGCTGCTCCCACAGCCTGGCAATTGTGAATAGTGCTGCATAAACAGAGGTATGCAGGTTCTATGCTGACTTTGGCTCCCTAGCAGGATCATGGTACTTCAATATTTAGTTTCTAGGAGCTGGGAAGGTGGCTCAGTGGTAGAGCGCTTGCCTTGCATGCATGAGGCCCTGGGTTCGATTCCTCAGCACCACATAAGCAAAAAGAAAAAAGCCGGAAGTGGCACTGTGGCTCAAGTGGTCGAGCGCTAGCCTTGAGCTGAAGAGCTGAGGGACCGCACCCAGGCCCAGAGTTCAGGCCCCACGACCGGACCCCCCCAAAAAAATTTAGTTTCTGGAGGAACCTCCATACTAATTTTCACAGTGGCTGCGTTAATTTACATCTCACCAACGGAGTATCAAGGCTCCTTTCCCCTGACATTCTCCTCAGCATCTGTTGTCCCAACTCTGATTCTCCTGTCTCTATTAGCCTGCAGATGTCCGAAATGAAACAAAACTGGCTCACCAAGTAGGCTTCTTGCACGAGTCTTCAGCCTGGAAGCTGAGCCCCATCCCTCAGGCCTCAAATAATCATAACAGTAATAATAATATAAAATAAGTAATCAAAATCTCTTAGACAATAAGGAAGAACACATATCTCCACATTAATCTGAGTTAAACCCTGGGTGCCACTTTATGAATTCCCCAAGCTCACAAGAAGTCTGAACTCAGTTAGATGAAAAAGCTAAAGCCAAAAAAGAGACTCTTATCTACTCAGATCCTTGATGCTACTTGAGAATAATCAAATTTGCACTGCCGTCACGGTCGTTGTGGTTTAAAGACTGGGGCAAGTCTGAGAAAAACGCAGGCATCAGAACTGGATCACAGCGGCTCCACTGCAGGAAGCACCCTGGAAATGTGGGCACAGAGCAGTGCCACTCAGACCGTGGGGTGGCATCCTCCCCGTGCCCGGGGCAGACTCCCAGATCCAGGAAGATCCTGTACCCTTGTCAGCCACCACAGCGCGAGGTGGCCGGTGCCTGTGTGTGAACCAACTGTGTTCAAAAACATCTAAGTGATTTTTAAAAATTTGAAAAATGAAAAAAAAATAGCCAGGCCCTGGCGGCTCACGTCTGTCATCCTAACTACTCAGTAGGCTGAGATCTGAGGATCACAGTTCAAAGCCAGCCCGGGCAGGAAAGTCTGTGAGACTCTTATCTCCAATGAACCACCAGAAAACTGGAAGTGGCACGGTAGCTCAAGTGGTAGAGTGTTCACCTTGAGCTGAAGCGCTGAGGGGCAGCGCCCGGGCCCAGAGTTCAAGCCCCACCACCGACCAACACAAAACAAAACAAAACAAAACACAAATGGGCTGGAAAATAGCCCTCAAATCAACACGTTTCCCCGTTCTGTTATGTCTGTTATGTCATTCACCATTTAACTGTTGCATACTTGTTTCTGAAATGACATGGAATTGGTCAAACAGGGTGGGGACATTTGAATGTTAAACCGCCCACAAGCAGTACAAGCCTTCAGAAAGGCCCTGTCTAGATACACATTTGTCATGTCCTTTGCAATTGCCTGATGACAAATCACCTGTCCTTTTTATCTGATACAAGCAGACTTTGGAATCATAAGCATTAACATTAAAACAGTTGCTAACTATAAGCAACAACGCATACTCTACCAAAAACTAGAAGAGGAATATATGAAGAGCTTCCACACTAACCTGCTCTCTCCTAGGATCCTGTCCAGTAGGTGCTAACAGGAAGAGTTAGGAGGATTTGTAGTTTTTCTTTGACCATGGAAACCTCCCTCCACTCAAATGATTAGACCAATGAGCACTTTAGTTTTCACAAGTGCCTCTCAGGCTTCATGATACATCTATTATTTGTATATTTGGTAGCACATCAAATTACCCTAAGAAGAAGAACTGGCTAGTCAGGCTAGTGCTAGCTCTGAATCCCTCTGTGCCAAAAGCTCTTTTGGTGGTGGTTCTACAAAGGGGGGCTGTGACAAACACAATTCCTGTACTAATGGCGCCTCCATTCCAGTCCAGAAAGACAGGCCATGTAAGTAGCCAAACACACACTGTGTGTTCAAAATAATAACAGCAAAGCTGTCAGTTAACTATATGCCAACAAAGTATGGGAGAGAAGCATGCATGGGAACACTTGGTTTCAGTCTGTTTTGTGTTCTATCACAGAATATTTGAGACTGGGTAATTTATTTTAAACATACACACACCCCAAAACAGAGACAGGGCTGAAGGTGTGGCTCAAGTGACAGAGCCTCCACCTAGCAAGTGTGAAGCCGAGTTCATACCCCAGTACTGAGAAACAAAACAAAACAAAACAAACCCACGCGAACCCAATGTAAGGGAATTCAGTCAAGAGAAACAGAGAAGCCCCATTTCCAGAGGTGGCCCTGGGGGCCTTTATTGAAAGTGTGAGCGCGGGTGGACTCCTGTCCCAAAGCCCCCAGCCCCTTGAATACACTGAACACTGTCAGGAACTGAGCCAGAAGAGCAGGAGAGAAGAGAAAGAGCAGAAGAGGGACACCCACCGCCCAGACCAAGCCCAGGGGAGAGCTGAGGGGGGCAGGGAGGCCGTGGAGGGGCGAGGGGGGGCAGGGAGGCCGTGGAGGGGCCAGGGGGGGCAGGGAGGCCGTGGAGAGCTGAGGGGGGACAGGGAGGCCGTGGGGGAGACCCGAGGCTGGAGCAGCGGCCGCGGGACGCGCCCCCCACAAGCCCTCCTTCCACGACGGCACCCACGAGTACAGCTCCTGTTGGAAACCCCCAGGCCAGCGGCCGGCCCCTGGCGGGTGCGGACCAGTCCAGCCATCCTCTCCATGGTGACCGCACGCACAGCCCGGCGCGCAGGCCGCAGCCCCGCACACACACCCAGTCCCCCCTCCCGCGCGCAGGCCGCAGCCCCGCACACACACCCAGTCCCCCCTCCCGCGCGCAGGCCGCAGCCCCGCACACACACCCAGTCCCCCCTCCCGCGCGCAGGCCGCAGCCCCGCACACCCAGTCCCCCCTCCCGCACGCCGGCCGCAGCCCCCGCAACCCAGTCCCCCCTCCTGCACGCAGGCCGCAGCCCTCGCAACCCAGTCCCCCCTCCCGCACGCAGGCCGCAGCCCCGCACACCCAGTCCCCCCTCCGGCGCGCAGGCCGCAGCCCCGCACACACACCCAGTCCCCCCTCCCGCACGCAGGCCGCAGCCCCGCACACACACCCAGTCCCCCCTCCCGCGCGCAGCCCCGCACACACAGCGCCCGCCGGAGGGGAAGGGCCACTGCCTGCGGGGTGTGGCTACCTCTGAGGGGCGGGGCGATTTGGGGCGGAGCCACGGCCTGAGGGGTGTGGCCACTCGCGGAGGGCGTGGCCATCGGCGCCTAAGGGGTGGAGGCGCCAGCTCCCGAGCCCGGGCCCCACGTGTGGGCGCGCGTGGTGTGCAGACGACCCAGGCCGGCCGGGGCCACTGTGCACCGTCCGGGACGCCATCGGGCGGGCGGGTGCAGGGCCGCGCCTGGCAGCAGGGATGCCATCGGGGCGGAGGTTCGGAAGTCTGCCCCCGCCCCGGCCCCCGACCCCTGGTCCCCCCGCCCGGCCCCGGTCCCCGGCCCCCGCTCCCCGAAGCGCACCCCCGGCCCCCAGCCCCCGAAGCGCACCCCCGGCGCCCAGCCCCCGAAGCGCACCCCCGGCGCCCAGCCCCCGAAGCGCACCCCCGGCCCCCGGAGCGCACCCCCGGCCCCCGGCTCCCGGCCCCCGCTCGCCTGGTCTCCGGCCCGGCAGTGAGGACCTCTCAGCCGTCCGACTCCGGCTAGCTAGCGGTCCGCCCCGGCTCCGTCCCAGCCGCAGGAAATGATGTCAGAGGGGGTGGAGGCGAAAACGGGGACCAGCACCTGGGAGCAGGGCAAGGCCTGGAAGGTTCTCCCCGCCCCCGGCGGCCTCCCTGCCCTGTCCGCAGCCCGGCCCGGCCCCGGGCTCCTATAAGGCCTCCGGAACCCAGAGCGGTCCGGGCTGCCCGGCTCTCGCCCGCAGCGCTCCACCCGGCTCCGGGAGCCGCCACCTTGGCCCGGGCCCTGCCTCCCCACCTTGGCCCGGGCCCTGCCTCCGCCCAAGCCACCGCCGGGCCGGTGCCCACCGCCCCGGCTGCCCTGGCCTCTGGCCCTAGATTAGATTTGCCCACAGGTGTTACTCATGCGCATTACTTCACAAGCCTTGGGGGGAAATAAACAGAGATCACCATTCCTTTGGCCCCTGGCTTTGGCCCTGGAAGGCCTAACCCACCGTTCTCTGTACATTGGTGTACGTGTGTGTAAACACCTTCAGGATGATTCTTCAACGGCTACTTTTCATATATAACAGCGACTGTGACTCTTGAAAAGTGACTGTCTTATAGCCAGGTCTGACTAAAATGTAAGCATTCGGGAATTAACTTTCAGAGTCTGGAAAAAAAAAGCCATTCTTAAACTTGAGGCTTAAACTCAGCCACTGAAACTGTTTAATTGGGAGTTTGTAAAAGGGTATCTCAAAATTTGGTTGTTTGGACAAGTAATCTTGATGGGGTGCACTGTGTCCTGAGTAATTTGGATCCAGTTCTCTTTAAAAATAAATAAATAAATCTATTAACAAATGTGTTCTTGGTGAATGCTTTTTGAGATTGCTTCCTTCCCAAGTCTTCCAGCTGGAAGCATAACCAGGACTCACAAAACTGAAAAGCCGTGCCTTGAGTCTTCTACAGGGAAGGATACAGATGAAGGCAGCCAGGAAGCACAGTGCCAAGCCCAGGAGGTCCCAACACAGGGCTTCTTACATCTCTTCTGGTGGAGTCAAGGGTGGCCTTCCTGGAGTAACACCTGGCGGACACTTGGCAAGCCACGGCCGTGGAAGCTCACCTGAGCCGTGGCGTCTGGAGTTTTTACATGGGCTTCATCAGGTAGGCGCTGCTGATACCCCCGGTGAGCTCATTGCATTCTCTGCAGGAATGGGCTGACACGTGACCCTAGGCCGGGGACCCCATATGACACGGTGGGTATGGCTGAAGGCAGTCACCCTAAATCTCACTTCCTGATTGTTAACCATGTCTCCATGCTCACAGAGAGCTCCTTGCCAAGGCACGAATCAGGGCAATAATTAGTAAACTCTTTATTTGGGTTAATACTGACTGCATTCATGACCACCATTTCCTCCATTATCGTTCGAAGCAGAGTCACTCACTAGACATTGTACTGTTATTAAACACTAAACATTAGGAAGAAATGGAAAGGCAGACTATAAAGAGAGAACGAAGGAGCTCAGTGAGAAGAGGTCCTACCACAGCACAGCCTCAGTGTGAACCGGCTACAGGAAGTGAGTAACCAGAGCAGATCAAACTCAAACACAGCCCCCCTGGAAAAGGTTTACCAATACGTATCCCCTAAAGGTTTTCACTGGACAAAAAATAATAAAAATAATAATTTTAGGAGAGAAAACCACCGTGACACAAGAGACTCAAGTTACAACCCCTTTAACACACAGCACTGCAACGGAGCTGGGCAGCTACTCTGGGGGGGGGGGGGGGCACTGTCTACCCATTCACGGACAGCAGAGCTGCTCTAGGACAAGAAGACTTCGTAGACGGTTTTCACATATTGCTCGTCGGGCGGGGGCTTCTTCTTGCTTCCAGGCTCAAGGAACCTCTTAATTGTAGGGATTTCACTTAATCTTGACGTGTAATCCTGAGAAAGGAAAGCACAAAAGATCCAGGTTAATATCGGAAGAACAAGTAACAAAATGGGGCTGTGCCAACATCTCATCAAAACCTGTTTCATATGTATCTGTCGACCAAGTCCAATTGGAATTCCAACCCCGCATCTGTTTAAGGTCTGATCTTGTGCAGTGTCTGCCATCAGCTGCAGGATGGGGCCCAGGTTTATGCAACTATCATCCATTGGTCACTCTCTTTAGAACTAGCAACATTTAAAACATCTTTTTAGAGTAGGGTTTTGATACTTAAAGAGAAGAAAAGGAGAAAAGAGCAAATAGGGAGATCTGATCTCTGCAGAGAAATGCACGACCCATTTGCACACAAAAGTGTGGTTGAAATCTATCGGATGTAGATAACTCAAGGGGCAGGGAGCAGGTGTTGCAAGCACAAGGCCGGGGTTCAGAACCAGCACTGTACCCACCAAATGCCATCAGATGGTAGAATTTATATTTAAGATTCCATTTCCTAGGACTTTCTCCTCCTGTTATCAAGCAAGGCCCTCTCTGGGGTCTGAGTGGGAGTGACCAGATGACTGTCATGGCCTATGGCTCAGATGTCACATGCTTATGTCAGCTGGAATAAAAGAAAAAAGTCTATTTTTTTCATTCAGGGTCAAATCTTATCAATTCTCAGTAACAGAGGAGAAAAGTCCAGTTATTAAATACCCTCTAAGTGTAAGATACAAGCTCAGCACACAGGGGCTGGGAAGGTGGCTCAGTGGTAGAGCGCTTGCCTTGCATGCCTGAGGCCCTGGGTTCGATTCCTCAGCACCACATAAGCAAAAAGAAAAAAGCTGGAAGTGGCGCTGCGGCTCATGTGGCAGAGTGCTAGCCTTGAGCTGAAGAGCTGAGGGACAGCACCCAGGCCCAGAGTTCAGGCCCCAAGACCGGACCAAAAAAAAAAAAAAAAAACAAGCTCAGCACACACTTAAGGACAAAAAATGTGCCACTGATATTAACAAGATCCCTAATGATTATGTCAGTCAACTCTCTATAAATATACGGAGCAGAGTGGGAGCCCATGGGGTGATGTTTGTGCCCTGCGCTTGCTCTCAGTGTTCCCGGTGTGAGGCCACAGTGTTTCTGAAGAGGCAGCTGCACTGTGAGCATGCTGAGCTTGCCTGCCCGCCATCAGCAGGTGAGGATGCCCAGCCTGGGGCTCGGCTCCTCCCGGCAAACTCTTGGTATGCACCGGCCTCTCAGAGTGCAGTTACGGCACCCAACTAGGATGAACACTTTCACATGACAATAATCTTTCAACTTTAATGATCTGAGGGCCAGAGAAACAATTTCAAGTCTATACTTTCATTTCACTCACTAGAATCTAAAACAACAATAAAATACACTTTACAAAATTACACACATACACACACACTCACACACACACACTCACACACACATATACACACTCCAAGCCAACCAATGAATAGATACTGAAGGAAGGCTGAGGTCTGACAATTTTAATTACCTGGAGGTAAGGAAATGCACTCAGGACGGTAGGAATTCTCTCTTCCATGGCCAAAATGGTTTGGAGTAAAATCACATCTGCAAGGCTCAGCTGATTGCCAACCAGAAAGTTCTCACCGCTGCACCTTAAAACCTGAAGGACATAAACCAGTTTGCATGGGTTACACTACAGTCACCGAGGAAGCAGCACGTTGATACAGTAGGCGAGAACGCTGCGGTACTGCCAGACTTCTCCGTAAACGTGTTTCTAAGCAACGTTAACAGGAGGGTGCCAAGACACTGAGAGAGGGGAGAGGAAGGGGAGAGGGAGAGGATCCATGGATGTCTGCTACGGGGCAGAAAGGGACTCTGCAGGGAGGAAGAAAACATTCAGCCTTCCCGGGCTCAGCAGCTGTCTACGTCAGAAGCGAGGTCGCAGTGCCACACTGGCACTGAGCATCCTGGGTGCTTGGAGGGCTGAGCGCCAGGCGGCCTTCATGAGGGTCATCTCCAAGGTCATCGCCACTCCTGTCACCTAGCCGTGCTTCACTCACCTGGACAAACCAGACCCATCTTCCTCTCCCGTCTCCCCGACAGAGAAAATGGAAAACTGAATCTCACCCTCCTCTATTTTGAGGGTACCACTTAGGTTCTAGGGATTTATGAGTGGAAGTTTTGGTCAGGGTTAAGCCAAGAACAGTACTAGGAAAGGCAGGCAAAGCCTTTCACAACGAATATGCGTGGGTGTGCACACGTGTGCTGTGAGGAGCACAACACTCTGGGCTCCTGGGACACAGACTCCTCCCAAAGCACTCTGGGAAAGGGGCCATGAGACACCGCTACACACTGAAACCCCCAGAACGGACTGTTTCTTTTTTTTTTCTGATTCTAATTTCTTCCCCCCCCCCCCCCCGATTAATTCTAATGCCAATGAGATGGTCCTTCTAATTCAGGATAAATAAAATGAAGGGAAAGCTCAAGAAAAAAAACCCACAGTAATAAGAGGAAGAGCAAAACAGAAAAGAGCAAAAGAGAAATAAAAAGGAAATGGTTCTCCTGGCAGACTAGCTGATGGATAAGAGCTTATCAAAAAGCACTTGTTGAATGAATGAATGAGTGAGTGAGTGAGTGAGTAGTTTGATCTTCTGTATCTTATAGGAGCTCTGTGAATGCCTGGGTGATGACTGACTGGGACAAATGCCGTCCCCAGAGACTGGGGGGGACTCTGACACATCAATCTGCTCACACTTCGTCGGCCGGCGCTGAGGCGACCCCTGGTGGTGGGGCGGTGCCATGGCCCGGTCTCCGGACAGCCTACCTACCTTTTCGAACACGGGGAAGTAGAGCGCGATGGCCTTGTGGGCCATGGCCACCAAGTCCTTCTTCTGGTCGGCCGGCTTTAAGAACGGGTGCATGATGAGCGTCTCCAGCAGGTCCAGGGTCCCCTCCACGTACATGTCGATCCTTCAAAGGGAAAGCAGGCTTTTCAGCCTCTCCCTCCACAACCCCACCCGGCCGGCTCTGGCATGTTCCGCTCACAACCCCAGCACCCACCAGCACCGATTTTCTACATCTGACTTTTAAGCACAGAGGCGGAGTCAATTTTAGTTATAGCTCAAAACAACCTTCAGAAAGCTTCATCAATCAGTGAGCTTTAGTGTCACGATGACCCGGCTCCCCAGCTCCGCCCCCACCCCACACACACACACTCATGCTCCTGTCTCCATGTGGGCAGCACTCCAGACTTGCACCACGACCCATGTACCCATTTTCTTATTTGGCATTCAGTGACTTGTGTTTGGTAGGCAGGTGCTCTACCACTTGAGCCAGGCCGCCAGCTTTTTGCATGGTCATAAGCCTGCATAGGAAATGATCAGACAACTGGAGCTACTAACACTTTGCCCAGGGTCATGCATCTAGGAGGTCCAAGGATCAGGCTCTGAGTTCAAATTTTAGTCCAATACACACTATCCCAGGGCTTCAATGCCACAATTTCTCATTCCTAATCCTCAACGGCATTGTTAGTCAGGAAGGCTGAAAAGCAGTATCAAAATATTCACTGATGTCTTATCTGATGTCTGGTAAGCATATCCCAGAATTCTTTCTTATGTAACTCCAGGGGACACATCCTGAGAAATTAAGATCCTGAACGTTAAAACCTTAAAAGCCAACTTCTCTTTTTAGCTTTGGCTTTAGCGTTCTGGGGTGTTTGTTTTGTCTTTTCTCTCACTACTTAAAATTGCCAGCATTATGTTTTATAAGTTGGTATGCTCTTTGCATTGTTTCCAATTCTGGAGCTATAAGTTGCCTAAACTTTTAGATCTAGCTCACAGGGTACACGTTTTGCCCATTTAGTCCTTGAACGTGTTAGATGAGATTACTATAGCTCAACTTATTGCTTTGTCTGTGTGCGTGAAACCACGCACAACTCATCAATAGATGAGATGTCCTTCTTGTGCATGTGCATTTGTGAGAGAAAATGTCTCCAGCTCTCCGCTTTGGGGAGACACCCTGGGTGGAGAAAGGTCACATGATCTATCTTGCTACATGTCGTTGGTAGGTTATCACCTGACCACAGCTGTAGCGCTGTGCCCACACAGAGGCCAAAAATGTACAGCTCACTTTGAAGCCCATTTCTCTATCAGTACTGTTCACTGGTCTGGACAGTATAGCCACGTAACTACGGTCTGTCTCTGGGAGTTCATGCTTACAAAAATGTTTGTACGGTCACTATTTTATTGTGTGAAGTGGGCTGTTGAGCATTCTGCCCTTTTATATGTTTCTCAACTAAACATCTTTCATAAAATACAAATCTCTTGAAAAATGTTGTTTTCAATTCTTTTTTTTCCCCCAGGATATTTCCAGAACTTTGTGTAGACTTTTAAGGGTTTGAATCTCTTAGGATTGCAGGATGATGACCTTTAGGGTAGTGTCATGAGGAATGATGGCTGAACCTGTGTTACTTAAGATTCTGTACTCAATTTCCACCTGGGCTTCATGGTCTTGGTTTGGATCCCTGTTCACACGAACAATACAAACACAGGAGGCTGGGAGGCGTGGCTCAGGTGGTAGAACACCTACCAAGGAGCATGAAACACCAGATACCAAGACTGAGTCCCCGTCTTAGGTGAAAAGAAGAAAGAACCAACAGTGCATATATAAGGGAGGGGCGGAGGACTGCTACGGGGAGGACAGGGAGGCAAGGGAAGCGCTCGAGGCCCACGGTACATGGTTCTCTCCTTGAGGTTCTTGCCGAAGAGGTGGTGCTTGTCGGCGATGTAGTGCAGGATGCAGCGGGTCTGCACCAGCTTCATGCCGTCCATCTCCACCATGGGCACTTGCTGGAACATCAGGTGGCCCTCTGAGGACAGAAGCACCGTGAGACACAGCCTCTCCCCCCCTGCTCGCCATCCACCAGAAAAGGGATGTGAAAGGCTTCTGCCCGGGGAACCAGCACAGAGCTCTGGGATGGCCAGCGGCCTTGGCTTCATCTGGGGTGGAGATTTAGCCTCTGGAGCAGCTCGGAAGCCAGCCCTGGTGTCCACCTTCCTCTCCATTTGTACCCCAGGAAAAGAGACACCTGCCCCCCCAGGGACAGCATAGTGAAAATGCTTCTTCCAGCTGCCCTGGCCTGCGCCAAGCAGCCACAGGCTAGTGTGGCATTTGTACCTAAACCCAAGTCATTAAAACATCACACAATTAAAATTCAGTGCCTCAGCTGCACACACATGAAATGCTGGAGAGTCATGGGTGGCCAGCAGCTGTCACCCCGGGCAGGGTGGGACAGACGGTCCTGTCCATACAGACAGCTCCACTCGAGAGCAATGCATTCAGAGTCTGGTCTGCAAACCGGAGCCTCACCGACCGCAGCACAGCCACAGACACTGGTTACCAGGTCTGTCCTCCGTAGTTGAAAAGTAATCCAGTGCTTCCTTCTACAAACCATGACCGAGGCAGGGTGGTCTGTGGAAGTGGGGACACCACGCGGGGGAGATGGGCGTGAGCTGGGCTGGGCTGTGCCGATGCTGGCCCCCGAAGGATGGGCAGAGAGGGAGCAGGACCGACCAGAAGCTAAAAAGGGTCTGGCTTGGTGTCACTTGTTTGGTCAGCAGGTGATGGATGACCTCAGCAGCGAGACGGGAGAACGTGAGGAGGAGGGGGCAAGGGGGATGAAGGAAGCAGCAGAGGGGATGGGGGGGCTGAGCGGGGGGGGGGGGGCTGAGCGGGGAGGGGGCTGAGCGGGGGGGGGGCTGAGCGGGGAGGGGGCTGAGCGGGGGGGGGGGCTGAGCGGGGGGGGCTGAGCGGGGGGGGCTGAGCGGGGGGGGGGCTGAGCGGGGGGGGGCTGAGCGGGGGGGGCTGAGCGGGGGGGGGGCTGAGCGGGGGGGGGTCTGAACGGGGGGGGGGCTGAGCGGGGAGGGGGCTGAGCGGGGGGGGGGGGGCTTAGCGGGGGGGGGCTGAGCGGGGGGGGGGGCTGAGCGGGGGGAGGGGGGGCTGAGCGGGGGGGGGGGGAGGCTGAGAGGAGGAGGCCAGATGGAGAAAAGCTGGAGTCTTCTCCGGATGTGGAAGGCACTACTCTAACCTTCCAGCTGGGTCTACAGAACTCCCACAGCAAGCGGTGCATTCCCTCTTGCTTCTCTGCTTTGGGGGATGCTATTCTTTAAACTTTCTGCATCTTTGCCCTTCTACATAAACATTAGTTCTTTTTTAAAAAATCGGCAGTACGGACAGACAGTTGGCTCATTTCCAGACTCACCTTCCTGTAGCTTCTTTAGCTGTTCTTGAGTTTCCAGAAATTCTTCATCAAACTAAATAAGAAGAGAGAGAAAGACATAGCCCATCCCCAAAAGACCAAAGTCATTAAAGAGGCAGTAAATACCTAGTCAACCTGTCTTGGCTTCTAAATAGTACAGCCCACTAAAACAAAACCAGGCTTCTGCCAAAAATGCTGATTCTCTTTTGCCAGGAAGCAAGGGAGTATGCCAAGGCCAGAGACAAGCCGAAGGCATGGAGGACCCGTGCCCAGGGATTTACTAACGGAATGCCAGCTGATTCAGGCTTCAGTGCGGATTAGAACCCCCCCCTCCCCCACCAACGAATCCTCACATCCATAAACGACGACATTAAAAGAAAAAAAAGACAAGAAGGGAGAAGTAAAAGCTCTGCTTTTCAAGAATTCGTGCTGATTAATGAAGACCCCACGGGCCCCTCATGGGACTCAAAGCAATTCACAAAATCATGGGTAGTGGAGAGAGCCTTGTTGGGAGCAAACAAGCCAAATCCAGGATGGGGGACACTGGACACTTCCTTCACAAACAAACAGCTTAGACGCAATGGTGGATGCTGGGTTCTCCACACAGGGCGCCAGCACCAGGGGCCAGGTCTTCCTGGAGAGATAACTGAGTCTAGAGTTGGGATAGTGAAAATACAAGAGGAGCCTAGCACGTCCTGTAGTGACAGAGAGAACTGAGAAGCGAAGCACAGCACAGCACAGCACAGCACAGCACAGCACAGCACAGCACGAGCTCCAGTGGCCAAAGCTGCAACCAACTGAGCAGTAAGGGGAAGTGGAGCGGAATCTTTCCTGCAGAATTCCAAATGTTGCCGCGCGCCTCCCGGTCGGTCGGTGGCACGCGGCTCCTGTCGCTGGGAGTGTGGGCAGGACTTAAAGATTTGCTTCCCAGGAACAGTCGGACTGGGCAGAGGCCTGACAATCCGGATGAAAGGGACTGGGCAGGCCCCACCAGCTCTCCAGCACTCAAAAGGTCGAGGTTAAAGGCCACCCCCCCCCCCCCCCACTGTGGAGGATTCCACACCAGCGCCGGAGCTGACAGTGAGCTAAGGCCGAGCCGCTGTCCCAGCCTGAGAACAGGCAAGGAAACACGGTGACAGTGACACGTGCAGAGCTGACGCCGGGGCTGTGAAAACACACTCCTGGGGAAACTTGGTCCTCGTGAATTTCCTGTGGCCTGGTCACCTCAGAGGCCATCATCAGCAGAGACTGACTGACTGCTATGGGACACACAGTTTTTACAACTTTACATAGAAAAGATTCCCCAATATAAAGTGCATTTTAAAATTGTTACATTTTGTTTTAGGTACTAGAAGATACATAAGCAAATGCAATGCACAGACCTTGTTTAGACTAAGGCTGAAAGAAACTTTAAAAAATCTACTTGAGATCATCAGACTGAGCTTTGGATATCAAAGGCCTGTTTGTTCTGCTCAGTTGATTGGATAAGAGCATTGTTATGCCTTTAAGTCCTCACCTGTTAGAAATATATGTTGAAGTAAGAACCATGAGAAGATGTGAGTATTAGCTATGGCTTTAAAAATTCTCCCACAAAACAAGCAGGGTGGAGGCAGACAAACAAGATTAGCGCAGCTCAGGTCTGGGCAGAGTCTGGGAGACAGTGCACACGCACACTTCACGCCAGTGCTCTTTATGTTGCTTTTCATTTGACCTTTTCCAAAATAAAAAAACTGAAGGCACAGAACCAAGCTCGAAGCAGAGCGTGGCCCGACACTCCCCTGTGAGCAAGGAGGGGCCGAGGGGCCCAGGCGCCAACTAAAGCCGGCACGGGAGCGGTGCCCAGAGACGGCGCAGGCTCTGGAGAAGCGGCCGGACGTCAGCCCCATTGCCTTTCCCCTTCCTCACAAGTCGCAGGCGCTAGTGGGCCAGGAGCCATGCATGAACACAGACAAACAGTTCCAGCCACTCCACCCCAAGGACAGGGAAAAGCCTCCCACAGGAAGAGTGCCGAGCCACGCCCGCCGGGGGCTGTGGACCAGACCGCTTCTGCAGAGGTGGCAGCTCCTGGCCCCGGGCCCAGGGGGCACAGGTGAGGACAGGTGGGGGGGGCAGGTGAGGGCAGGTGGGGGCAGGTGGGGGCAGGTGAGGGCAGGTGGGGGCAGGTGAGGGCAGGTGGGGGCAGGTGGGGGCAGGTGGGGGGCAGGTGAGGACAGGTGGGGACAGGTGAGGGCAGGTGGGAGCAGGTGAGGGCAGGTGAGGGGCAGGTGAGGACAGGTGGGAGCAGGTGAGGGCAGGTGGGGGCAGGTGAGGGCAGGTGGGGGCAGGTGGGGGCAGGTGAGGGCAGGTGGGGGGGAAGGTGAGGACAGGTGAGGGCAGGTGAGGACAGGTGGGAGCAGGTGAGGGCAGGTGGGAGCAGGTGAGGGCAGGTGAAGGCAGGTGGGGGCAGGTGGGGGGCAGGTGGGGGGCAGGTGGGAGCAGGTGAGGGCAGGTGGGGGCAGGTGAGGGCAGGTGAGGGCAGGTGGGGGCAGGTGGGGGCAGGTGGGGGGAAGGTGAGGACAGGTGAGGGCAGGTGAGGGCAGGTGGGGGCAGGTGAGGGCAGTTGAGGGCAGGTGGGAGCAGGTGAGGGCAGGTGGGGGCAGGTGGGGGCAGGTGGGGGCAGGTGGGAGCAGGTGAGGGCAGGTGGGGGCAGGTGGGGGCAGGTGAGGGCAGGTGGGGGCAGGTGGGGGGGCAGGTAGGGGGGGCAGGTGGGGGCAGGTGAGGGCAGGTGAGGGGCAGGTGGGGGCAGGTGGGGGGCAGGTGGGGGGGGCAGGTGAGGGCAGGTGGGGCAGGTGGAGGGCAGGTGAGGGCAGGTGGGGGCAGGTGGGGGGGCAGGTAGGGGGGGCAGGTGGGGGCAGGTAGGGGGGCAGGTGAGGGCGGGTGGGGGCAGGTGGGGGGCAGGTGAGGGCAGGTGTGAGGACAGGTGGAGGGACGGGTAAGGACGGGGCGGGGGGACAGGTGGGTGAGGACAGGTGGGGGCAGGTGGGTGAGGACAGGGTGGGGACAGGTGGGTGAGGACAGGTGGGGGCAGGTGGGTGAGGACAGGTGGGGACAGGTGGGTGAGGACAGGTGGGGGGCAGGTGGGTGAGGACAGGTGGGGCAGGTGGGTGAGGACAGGTAGGGGCAGGTGGGTGGGGCTGGGTGGGGCAGGGTGGGTGGGGGGGCGGGTGGGTGGGGACAGATGGGGCCAGGTGGGGGTGGCAGGTGGGGGGGGTGGGGGCAGGTGGGGGGACAGGTGGGGACAGATGGGGCGGGTGGGTGGGGACAGATGGGGCCAGGTGGGGGGGGCTGGGTCGGGGGGCAGGTGGGGGGGTGGGGGCAGGTGGGGGGACAGGTGGGGACAGATGGGGCGGGGTGGGTGGGGGCGGGCAGGTGGGTGGGGGTGGGGGGCAGGTGGGGTGAGGGGCAGGTGGGGACAGAAGGGGGCCGGGTGGGTGAGGGCGGGGGCAGGTGGGTGGGGGTGGGGGCAGGTGGGGTGGGGGTGGGGGCAGGTGGGTGAGGGGCAGGTGGGGACAGATGGGGGCCCGGTGGGTGGGTGGGGGCAGGTGGGTGGGGGCGGGCAGGTGGGCGGTGGGGGCGGGGGCAGGTGGGTGGGGGGCAGGTGGGGACAGAAGGGGCAGGTGGGTGGGGGCAGGGGCAGGTGGGCGGGGGGCGGGTGGGTGGTGGGCGGGGGCGGGTGGGGGGCGGGGGCAGGTGGGGGTGGGGCAGGTGGGTGGGGGCGGGGGCAGGTGGATGGGGCAGGTGGGTGGGGGGCAGGTGGGGACAGAAGGGGCAGGTGGGTGGGGGCGGGGGCAGGTGGGTGGGGGGCAGGTGGGTGGGGGCGGGGGCAGGTGGGTGGTGGGGGCAGGTGGGTGGGGGCGGGGGCAGGTGGGTGGTGGGGCGGGCAGGTGGGCGGTGGGGGCGGGGGCAGGTGGATGGGGGGCAGGTGGGTGGGGGCGGGGGCAGGTGGGTGGGGGGCGGGCAGGTGGGTGGTGGGGGGCGGGCAGGTGGGCGGTGGGGGCGGGGGCAGCGGGAAGGTACCTCCACGCCCGCGGCGGCCAGCGCCCACCGCACCGACTCCATGCGGCCTCTTCCGTTGAGGTAGTGCAGCCTGGGCCTCGACGAAGCCATGGCGGCCCTCGGCCGGGCAGGTCCCGCGCCGCTCCGGCTGCTCCGGCGCTCGGCTCCCGGCGGCCGGCGCTGGGCCGGGGACCCTAGGGGACCGCAGGCGCGGGTCGGCGCGGGAAAGGGCGGCTGCTCCTGCGGCGTCCTCCCGATCAGCGAGAGCGCGCCGCCATTACACACCGCAAGGAGGGGAGGAGGGGACGGGGAGGAGGGGGAGGAGGAGGAGGAGGAGGAGGGAAGATGGAGAATGAGGAGGGGGGAGGGAGGAAGATGAGGAGGAGGAAAGATGGAGAATGTGGGGGGAGGGAGGGAAGATGGGGAGGAGGAGGGGGAGGGAGAGAAGATGGGGAGGAGGGAAGATGGGGAGGAGGGGGAGGAGGAGGGGGAGGAGGAAAGATGGAGAATGAGGAGGGGGAGGGAGGGAAGAGGAGGAGGAGGGAAGATGGAGAATGAGGAGGGGAGCAGGGAGGGAAGAGGAGGAGGAGGAGAGAAGATGGAGAATGAGGAGGGGGGCAGGGAGGGAAGAGGAGGAGGAGGAGGAGGGAAGATGGAGAATGAGGAGGGGGAGGGAGGGAAGAGGAGGAGGAGGAGGAAAGATGGAGAATGTGGGGGGAGGGAGGGAAGATGGAGAATGAGGAGGAGGGGGAGGGAGAGAAGATGGGGAGGAGGGAAGATGGGGAGGAGGGGGAGGAGGGGGAGGAGGGAAGATGGGGGAGGAGGGGGAGGAGGGGGAGGAGGGAAGATGGGGAGGAGGGGGAGGAGGAGGAGGGGGAGGAGGGAAGATGGGGAGGAGGAGGGAGGAGGGAGAAGGGAAGAGGGGAGGAGGGGCGGGTCCTGGCTTGGCTGTGCTTTCCTTTCCAGCTTTCAGATTTCTTACTCTGGTCACACCACACTCGCGCTCGCAGCGCAGTGCATCGGTGTCACGGTCACACCGTGCCCCCCCCCCCCCCCCCCCCGCTCGCCGCGGACCCGGCCCTCGCTGCGGACGGGCGGCGGGTGCTGACCGCAGCCCGGCGGGGCGGGGCGCGGCGCGGGCCCCAGGCGCCCTGGGGCCTCGGAGACCCGGACCCCAGGCCCGAGGGAAGCCACACCAAGGACCCAGGCCCGATCCCATCCCGACCCAGCGGGACGCACGGAGGGCAGGGGCTGGGCGGGGAGCCCGGCGGGAGCGGCGCACGCCGCGGACACAGACCTGACACCCGCTCGCACCGCCGAGCCACAGGAGGCGGCGCGGGGCGGGGCTGCAGGGGGCGGGGCCCGGGGCGGGGCTGCAGGGGCGGGGGCGGGGCCGAGGGCGGGGCTCCGGGAGGTCTCACTCTTGGAGATCTAGTGTTTAGCATACGCCACCAGCTGCAAGGAATTGTGGGTAACGTTAAAAAAAGCCCAAATTTCAGTCATTTTCGTCTGATTTTCTCGTTTTGAGGGAGTGAAAACACGTTCTTCCTCTGTTAGTGAGTTTTAACTCCTGCCACGACCGTTACGTGAAGGTCACAGCGCCGACGCAAATAATCGAACTCGACCTAAGTGTAAGGTGAGCGCGCTCCTTGCACCTTATATACCGCGCTGCCGCCGTAGCTTCCTCGGATGTGAGGGCGATCTGGCTGCGACATCTGTCACCCCATTGATCGCCAGGGTTGATTCGGCTGATCTGGCTGGCTAGGCGGGTGTCCCCTTCCTCCCTCACCGCTCCATGTGCGTCCCTCCCGAAGCTGCGCGCTCGGTCGAAGAGGACGACCATCCCCGATAGAGGAGGACCGGTCTTCGGTCAAGGGTATACGAGTAGCTGCGCTCCCCTGCTAGAACCTCCAAACAAGCTCTCAAGGTCCATTTGTAGGAGAACGTAGGGTAGTCAAGCTTCCAAGACTCCAGACACATCCAAATGAGGCGCTGCGCGGGGCAGTCTGCCTTTCTTTTGAAATTGAAACTTCTAAGATATTTCTTTTTTCTTATTTTATTTTCATTCTGCCTGCCATCAGGCTGGCTTCTATTATTGTTTTTTTTCTTTTCATGAGGCTTCAACCTGGGCATTGTCCCTCAGCTCTTCAGCTCAAGGCTCGCTGCTCCTCTATACATCATTAAATTAAAGAAAAAAGCCTAGAGAACGTTAAAAAATTAATTAAAAAATTAATGTTTTTTACTTCACTTTCATTGCCAGGCAAAGACGTTTTCGTCCTTTCAGGGGGGAAAAAAAAAAAAAAATAGAAGACTTTGGGACTTAAGGGTCTTGGACGCAGGTGATATTGAAAGACAAATGCCTAAAGCCAGAGCTGAGGGACAGCGCCCAGGCCCAGAGCTCAGGCCCCACGACCGGACCCCCCCCCCCCCCCCCCCAAAAAAAAAAAAAAAAAAAGAAAGAAAGACAAATGCCTGTGACAGCGAGAAAGGTCCACCTTGGGCTGGCGACAGGGGACATGGAGGGCTTCAGGAAGCCCAAGACCATCTAGGGAAATTCCTGCACTACGCTCTTGGGAAATAAAAAATTAAGCACGATGAAAACCAAACAAGGAATTGTTGCTTTCTGCATTTTATAATAGTACAAATAATATAAATTTTGTTATTATTGTGTTGTATGGACAGTTGCCATTTCCTATTTTTCTTTTTGACAAGGTCAGCCTTTCCTTTGCTGTCTTTCCCCCTCCCATCTCTGCACACAAGGCACATAGTTCATTTTCCACATAGTGGAAAGGTCTTGCTTTTTAAAAAGCATCCCAAAGCACCTAAATTACTAATGGCTGAATTCAAAACAAATCAAACTCTTCCACGTTGCAGGAAAAGGCTTCTTGCAGCTCAGTCAGTAACGCCAGTCTAGGCATTAAGGAGAAATTATGGGAGCCTTTTAATATGGAAGTCTCCAGTGAAGTACTCAAGTGTGTGTCTGTGTGAGTGTGCATGTGTGGTGTGTCTGTGCACGTGTGGCATATCTGTGAGTGTGCATGTGTGGTGTCTAAGTGTGCATGTTGTGTCTGAGTGTGCATGTGTGGTGTATCTGTGTGCATGTGTGGCGTGTCTGTGAGTGGGCATGTGTGGTGTATCTGTGCATGTGTGGCGCGTCTGTGAGTGTGCATGTGTGGTGTGTCTGAGTGTGCATGTGGTGTGTCTGTGAGTGTGCATGTGTGGTGTCTGAGTGTGCATGTGTGGTGTTTGTGTGCATGTGTGGCATATCTGTGTGAGTGCATGTGTGAGTGCATGTGTGGCATGTCTGAGTGTGCATGTGGTGTCTGTGTGAGTGTGCATTGTGGTATGTCTGAGTGTGCATGTGGTGTATCTGTGAGTGTGCATGTGTGGTGTATCTGAGTGTGCACGTGGTGTGTCTGTGAGTGTGCATGTGTGGCATGTCTGTGTGAGTGTGCATGTGGTGTCTGTGTGAGTGCTTGTGGTGTCTGTGAGTGGGCATGTGTGGCATGTCTGTGTGCATGTGTGGCATGTCTGAGTGTGCATGTGGTGTCTGTGTGAGTGTGCATGTGTGGTATGTCTGTGTGAGTGTGCATGTGTGGTGTGTCTGAGTGTGCATGTGTGGCATGTCTGAGTGTGCATGTGTGGCGTGTCTGAGTGTGCATGTGTGGCGTGTCTGAGTGTGCATGTGTGGTGTGTCTGAGCGTGCATGTGTGGTGTGTCTGAGTGTGCATGTGTGGTGTGTCTGAGTGTGCATGTGTGGCGTGTCTGAGTGCATGTGTGGTGTGTCTGAGCGTGCATGTGTGGCGTGTCTGAGCGTGGATGTGTGGTGTGTCTGAGTGTGCGTGTGGCGTGTCTGTGAGTGTGCATGTGTGGCGTGTCTGAGTGTGCATGTGTGGTGTGTCTGAGTGTGCATGTGTGGCATGTCTGAGTGCATGTGTGGCGTGTCTGAGTTTGCATGTGTGGCGTGTCTGAGTGTGCATGTGTGGTGTGTCTGAGCGTGCATGTGTGGTGTATCTGAGTGTGCATGTGTGGTGTGTCTGAGTGCATGTGGCGTGTCTGTGAGTGTGCATGTGTGGTGTGTCTGAGCGTGCATGTGTGGCGTGTCTGAGCGTGGATGTGTGATATGTCTGAGTGTGCGTGTGGCGTGTCTGTGAGTGTGCATGTGTGGCGTGTCTGAGTGTGCATGTGTGGTGTGTCTGAGTGTGCATGTGTGGCATGTCTGAGTGTGCATGTGTGGCGTGTCTGAGTGTGCATGTGTGGCATGTCTGAGCGTGCATGTGTGGTGTGTCTGAGTGTGCATGTGTGGTGTGTCTGAGTGTGCATGTGTGGCGTCTGTGAGCGTGCATGTGTGGTGTGTCTGAGCGTGCATGTGTGGTGTGTCTGAGTGTGCATGTGTGGCGTGTCTGTGAGCGTGCATGTGTGGTGTGTCTGAGCGTGCATGTGTGGTGTCTGAGTGTGCATGTGTGGTGTGTCTGTGAGTGTGCATGTGGTGTGTCTGAGTGTGCATGTGGTGTCTGTGTGAGTGTGCATGTGTGGCGTGTCTGAGCGTGCATGTGTGGTGTGTCTGAGTGTGCATGTGTGGCGTGTCTGTGAGTGTGCATGTGTGGCGTGTCTGAGCGTGCATGTGTGGTGTCTGAGTGTGCATGTGTGGTGTGTCTGAGTGTGCATGTGTGGCGTGTCTGAGCGTGCATGTGTGGCGTGTCTGAGTGTGCATGTGTGGTGTGTCTGTGAGTGTGCATGTGGTGTGTCTGAGTGTGCATGTGGTGTCTGTGTGAGTGTGCATGTGTGGCGTGTCTGAGTGTGCATGTGTGGCGTATCTGTGAGTGTGCATGTGTGGCGTGTCTGTGAGTGTGCATGTGTGGCGTGTCTGAGTGCATGTGTGGCGTGTCTGTGAGCGTGCATGTGTGGTGTGTCTGAGTGTGCATGTGTGGTGCTGGGGACGGACCCGTCAGTTCTTCACTTGCATGTAAGGCCTCTGCCACTGAGCTGACCTCCTCCCCTAAAGCTATCGTTCTTTTTGCCCATCCTGGGCCTTGAAAGCTGAGCACTGTCCCTGGGCTTCTTTTGCACAAGGCAATTGCTCTACCACTTGAGCTACACTGCTTTCAGCCTTTTTGAGTGGTTTATTGGAGGTAAAGAGTCTCACAGAGCTTCCT